TATCATGGGGGACCTTGTCAAAAGCCTTACTGAAATCAAGATATACTATGTCTACCGCATTCGCTTCATCTAGCAAGCTGGTGATTTTAAACTTGTAAGCCACCCTGATTGGAGTACCACTGGGCGGGATATAAATAAATTTTATTATTATTATTATTATTATTATTATTATTATTATTATTATTATTTATCAAAAAAAGAGATTAGGTTAGTCTGGCATGACTTATTTTTGAGAAACCCATGTTGACTTTTTGTGATTATGGCATTACTTTCTCAATGTTCACAGACTCTCTGTTTAATGAACTGTTCTAGAATCTTTCCCAGTACTGATGTCAGACTAATTGGGTGATAGTTGTTGGGATCCTCTTTTTATCCCTTTTTGAAGATGGGGACAATGTTTGCCCTCCTCCAGTCTGCTGGGACTTCTCCTGTTCTCCAGAAGTTCTCAAAGATTATTGCCAGTGGCTCCGAGATTACATTTGCAAGTTCTTTTAATATCCTTGGGTGTAGTTCATCTGGTCCTGGAGACTTAAATTCATTTAGGTTAACCAGATATTCCTGTACTTCCTCTTTACTTATTCTGTGCTGCATTTCCCCTATTGTGTCCTCTGCTCCATTTTCCTCAGGTTGAACATCCTTTTCCTTTTGTGACAAGACTGAGGCAAAGAAAGTGTTGAGTAGTTCTGCCTTTTCTCTGTCTCCTGTTAGAATTTCTCCATCTTCTCTGCACAGTGGCCCTACCATTTCTTTCTTCTTTCTTTTGCTACGGACATACCCAAACATGTTAATGCCCCAAATATCTGGAGGACCAAAAGTTTAATCAGCCTAAATCCTGTTTTTAGTTCTGGTTACAGCAGACGCAATGACTCAGTGGGATTTATCTAAGCCTTGATTCACCATACAACAATTGAATGAATGGGTCCACTCCAGTTGGGACTAGCTAACAGGTTGACAGCCATAGTCTGTTTCTGGAAGGCAACATTAATTTCCTTGTTTACAGTATTTGTTAAAAACTATGCCACAAACCAAAAAAGCAGCCATTTAAAAATTCAACAACAAGAAAAGAAACAAAAGTTTAAAAGCTGCATAGAAATAATCTCAAAGAATAAAAACAGAATAAAGAATAAAGAATAAAGCTAAGGCATGTAAGCCTGGGAAAACAAAAAGTTCTTTACCTGATGCTAGAATTACACCAAGGCAAAAGCCAGGCAAACCTCTCAGTTGAAAGCTGCAGTAGGTTTGTTGTTGTTATTGTGTGCCTTCTAGTCATCCAACTTAAGGCAACCCTCAGGAGAACCTGCCATGGGGTTTTCTTGGCAAGATTTGCTCAGATGACGTTGGCCATTGCCTTCCCCTGAAGCTGAGAGAATGTGACTTGCCTAAGATCACCCAGTGAGTTTCATGGCCGAGCTGGGAATTGACCACTATCTAGGTAGTCTATTCCATTGACAAACTGGTCTTCCCATCAAGAAGTTCTTCCCAATGTTTTAGGTGAAATCTTTTTTTCCCTGTAATTTGAATTCATAGGTTTGGGTCCTTTCTGTCTGGAGCACCACAAAACGCGCATGTACATGACATCTCTTCAGATATTTAAAGATGACTAGCATATTATTTCTCATTCTTTGCATCTCCAAGCTAAACATGCCTGTCTCCCTTAACCATTCCTCACAGATCTTAGTTTTCAACCCTTTTGCCATCTTCTTTGCCCTCAACTGGACATACTCCAGTTTTTCAACATCCTTCTCAAATTCTGGCATCCAGAACTGGATACAGTATTCCAAGTGGAGTCTGACCAAAACAAAGTGGTACTATTACTTTGCTTGGTCCTGACACTATTCTTCTTCTGATGTAACCTAGACCTGTGCTGGCTTTTTTTGCCACCACATCACATTGTTGATGCATATTTAGCTTGTGGTCTACTAAGACACTAAGATCCCTTCTTAACACATACTGCTGTCAAGCTAGGTGTCACCCATCCTATATTTGCACATTTAATTTTCCCTGTCTGAATGTAGTACCTTACATTTATCCATGTTGAATTCATTTTGTCAGTTTTGGCCCAACTCGCCAATCTGTTACAGTCCTTTTGAATTCTAATAAGGTATTAGCTATACTGATTTTGATCAGGATGCATACTATACCACCATCCAAGTAATTGGTAAAGATATTTAATAGTACTGGGCCTGGGACAGAACTCTGTGGTACCCCACTAGTCACCTCTCTCCAGGATGAAGAGGAACCATTGGTGAGTACTCTTTGGGCTCAGTTAGTCAGCCAGTAACAAATGAACCAAACAGTAGCATTGCCTAGTCCACATTTCACCAACTTGTCTACAAAAATATCATGGAGGATCTCATGAAAAGCATTACTGAAATCAAGATAAACTACATCTGTAGCATTTCGATGATCTACCAAACATGCCAGTGTATGATTAGTCTGGCATGATTTGTTTTTGAGAAGCCCATGCTGGCTCTAAGTAATTATAGCATTCTTTACTAGGTAGGTGCCCACTGATTTTTCTCTGATGCTGTGTGTTAGAATTTTTCAAGCTGACTGGTTGGAGTTGAGGCCTCTGCCGTAACTCTTCTGTTTTCTGACAGGGTGATCAAACATCTTCCTTTTCCAGGTCATGCCCTACATTTGTACAGGAAGAATTCCAAAATGTCCTCCATTTTAAGCATGATTAAGAAGCCCATCAACACCATGTTTGCTGTTTGAGAAATTTGTCTTCTTGGCAGCCTGTCCTTGCTGCAAATCGGGGGATAGGATGGATCCTTCTAAAGTTCTTTTTTCCTATGAACAATAGCAGACAAGACTTGCCCACATTGCACAGGACATGTTTATTTCTCAGGAGGGGAAAAGACAGCAAATGTGTTGGCAATGGGCTCCTTGACGACACAGTGCAAATGCAGAAAGCGATTTTCCCTTCTTTTCAGCACAATGGGCAAACAAATAATTTAAATGTAGACTTAGGGCCTTTGCAGACTGCTAGAAATAGTGCAAATTGAGTCCACTTTAACTTCCCTGGCTCAGTGCTAGGGAATCATGGGAATTGTATTTTTTTCTGAGACATTGAGGCTTCTCTGTCAGAGAACTCTGTGTGCCACAATAAACTACAGTCCCCATGATTCCCTAGCACTGAGTCAGGGCAGTTAAAGTGGACTCAATTTATACTGTTTCTGGCAGTCTGCAAAGGCCCTTAGTCAAAGTGTGTTGCTAATGAGTTCTTATTTCGTCCCTATGGTTGCCGATTTATTGTTATTGTTTTATTGTATTATTGCATTGTGTATTTTAAGTCCTTAAAGTTTAATTCTGTTTTAAGGGGATGGGAGGGTTGGATTGTGGGATGAGGGAATGTTTTGATTCTGTTTGTTTTAATATGCTGTAACCTGCCACGATTGCCGCGCAGAGGGGCGGGCTATAAATAAAAATTTATTATTATTACTAATAAAATACAATTTTAAACATTAGTCTTGTTCAGAGTTCTACAATTATCTTGCAAGTCAACATAGCATTTTAACAAAGACAAGTTCATAAAAAAAATACAGCTGAGTACATAATGAAATACAGTATGTGTAATACAGCTGTAAATAAACCATATGAAATGAATTTATATTAGTGTTTTAGCTTCTATTTTGTAATGTCCTACATTTTTCTTGAATATCCTACATTGTGTGGTGCCTTGTCCTCCTTTGTGGTTATGACATCTTGTCACCTTGTTCTCTGACCTCACAAAGATTATTTGCAAAGGATCTGATAATAAACTTCCAAGTTCCTTTAGTACCCTTAGGTGCAATTAATCCAGCCTGGCTGACTTGGGAGATTCTTGCACGAAAAGGGTCTTACCTTTCCCGAATTGAAGCCTAATTGAAGCTTAATTTGGGCTGCATCCTCATTTTATTGGCTTTTGACCCCAAAACTGCCATCTGAGTACATCCCTGCTCCAATGCAGGTCCCTTAACTCGCTTCAGTGGCCATTTTTCAAACATTCAAAAGTATATCATATATATATTTATTGTGGGCTGCAGTCCCTAACAACAACAACAACCAGCCTCTCACTCAGGCTTGAGGTGGGGTACAACATAGATTAAAAAACATAAAATCATTTAAACACTGTAAAAACACTGTTAAATGTTGTTTAAACACAGAAACACAGAACACATTAAATCATCCAGCATAAATTAAATATTTATAGTTTAAAATCAATTGGGTAAGCCTGCTGGAAGAGATACATCTTTTATATTCAGACAGCATATTCAGCTGTCAAATTCCACAGTCTAGGGACAGTCAATGAAAAAGTCCTCTGTGCCACAGTTGCCAGTCCAGTTCTGGCTAATTGAAGTAAATGTCCCCTAGAGGATCTGACTCTATAGAGCAAATTATACGGAAGGAGGCAATCCCATAGGTAACTTGGACCCAAACCAAGTACAGCTTTAAGGGTAATAATAATCAATGCTTTGTACTTTGGCCAGAAACTCACTAACAACCAGTGGAGTGATTTTAATATTGGTGTGATATGCTTAATCAATTCATTTGAGATGTGATGTTGGAGAAGAGTGCTGAGGATCCCATGGACAGCCAAAAGGACAAACAAATGGGTCCTAGAACACATCAAGCCGGAAATCTCCCTGGAAGCCAAGATGACCAAACTGAGGCTGTCATACTGCGGATGCATCATGAGAAGATGAGAGGACTCTCTGGAAAAAACAATAATGTTAGAAAAGGTGGAGGGAGGGAGGAAGAGAGGGAGGCCACATGCTAGATGGATGGACTCTATTAAGGAGGTCACGGGTATGAATTTACAGGAACTAAAGCAGAGCAATGGAGGACAGGGAGTCTTGGAGATGTCTCATTCACGGGATAGCCATGGGTCAAAATCAACTCAAGGGCAGTTAACAACAATACCTAGAGAGCACCAGGTTATAAGGGGCTTTGTTGGTGTTGGTGTTCTCCGGGGCTGAGAGTGTTTGACTCATCCAAGGTCACGCAATGGGTTTCCATGACCAAGCAGGAAATCGAACCCTGGTCCCCAAAGTCATAGTCTAATGCTCAAACCACTACACCAAGCTGGCTCTCTTTGTAAAAGACATAGCTATGAGCTATGTGTTTTCTATTGTTGTATTTTTATTGTGTGTGTGTGTGTGTTTTAAATCAAATACTGTACATTGTTTTATACATTTGACTTTAAATTATTGTGAGTTGCTCTGGATGGTACAAAAACATTAGAAAAGCAAGATACACACATTCTGTATAACATAACATTTTGCAAACTAGGGCCCTCCAGATTTGCTCACTGCCACCATGGAAATGAATGATGGGAATTGTAGTCTAATGTGTTTGAAGAGCATCAGGTTGGGGAAGGCAAGAGTAATTGGTACCAATGGCACTCATAATGAGAATCCTAATTTTACAGTGATTAAATAAGCTACTGAATTTATATTACAATGTAAAAAGATGTGCAATATATAAATATCCTGTTCTCTCCCCCACCCCATTACTGTTCCCAATTTTCACATATTACCGTATGTTTGAACCAGTTGTTTAGAACCTTCTAGGAAAATTTATTTCCTTTGCAGAAGCTGATGTACTCAATATACACCACTGAGTCACATGCAGGAAACTGTAGGTTTTAGTCATATCTAAAGATAATAGGGTCACAAGTGTTTCTATATTTACTATTCAAGCTGTGAAGGGAAATGCTGATTTTTCAGGTTCCTATTCAGACAGACCACATGCTGAAGTGATCTGTATTTGCCAACTAGAAGGAATAGTTGATGTGTCTGTTGAGAGGAATCTGGTAATTGTTGCTGCAAAAGAGAGTTTATTAAAATACTTCAGATCAGAGGTGTGTAATTAACAACACAACTTTGTGCTCTAATAGGTCCCTTTGCTCAGAGCACTTTGAAAAATTAATTGTGGCACTCCACCTCTATATGGCTATACAAAGTCATTAATCTTGCAGAAAAGTAACCCCAGGCATAGAAGACTGTCTGACTTATCAGAGCAGCTTTGAGTGGTCTTTCACTCCCCGTCCCCTGCCTTGAAAATGGAGACTCAGTAAATCACCAGCTTTTAAATTTACAGAATAATTACCCTGCACCCTTTTTAAAAGAAAAAAATTCCACTTTCTGTCTGTGCTGTTCACAGGCTCTTCAAATGAAATATACACCACAGCAAACTATATCCTCCAATGCTGAACGTGTGTGGTTGAGCAACATCAGTGTGGTCAAGATGACAAAAGTTGTTAATGAGGATGAACACCTAGGCTGGGAGAGGCTGCAGCAGTTTTCTTTTGCCTGTGTCTACAGGGAAGGGCACGATTCTGCCCCCTCCTCTCCTCTCCCCACTGCTGACTTAACTGAGTGCAAAGTACTTTTTTGCCTTGAACTCAGTTTGTTGCAACTGAAGTAAGCGGAGGACAAAAAGAGAAAGTGGGAGAAGGAATGAGAAGCATTTTAAAAGCAACTGAAAAAGTGAGCTGAGAGAGGATTGATCCAGATTGTCCTGGTCAAATTGGGCTAGTAAGAGGGTATGCAAAGCAATACTATTATTTCTAGGGTTTAATCATAAGTGTGCAGATTAAAAGCCTCCTTGCTTTAAGTTGTTCTGGCTTGATTTGTTTAGGGAAGGAGGCAGTTCAATAGCAGAATAGAAATGCTACCAGCTTCTTTCTTTCAGTTAGTCTCAAAGGTGCTACAAGATCCCTTTGCATTCTGGTTTTCCAGACTAAAAATGGCTATGTCTTTGAATTCTACCACCAGGATATACAGCTACTTAAAACTATTTTTATGCCTCTGGTTTTATAGCCTATGTCCTTGTGCAAAATATATAAAAATCACTGATGAGACACAGAAGAGACCCTCCCCAAAGGTATATACAGACATATACGACTTGGTTGGGAATATATAGTAAGAAACATCCTTTCAAGTCCCAAGCAATTTAGGACTTAAATGTTATCACAACCACTCTGAATTCAGGCTGGAAACTTGTTGGCAGCCAATGCAAGACTTTTTTCAAAACTGGGATTATATCCCAAGTTGGCTGTTTTCCCGATGCTGGAACTCCTTCCCAAGGGAGGCTTGTTTCATCCTCCCCTTTATAGGCTTTCTGTAAGATGGTTTAAACTTTAACCAAGGAGGAAACAATGGTGTCTTTCAGGATCAGCAGCTCTAGCCAACATTGCCAACCATGAGCCAGAAACATCTGGAGGGCCATAGTTGGCCACCACCATAGTTGGTTTGCATCTTTCTGGGAAGGCTTTTGGGATTTTCTCTGACATGGTATTAAACACTAAGGGCCTCAACAGATGGGCAGCCATGGGTTGCCCCGAGAAGCCGAAGATTGGGGCTGAGGCCGAAGATTTGGTGACTGGGAAAGGAACGCCAAAATAGGGCTCCTCTCCCAAGCCGCAGAAAGGGCATAGCAAGAGCCACCATGCTACTCTTTTGGGCCTGTTCCGGCGCAGCGTGTAAAAATGCTGCGCTGGAAGGACGTCATCAGAGCGCTCGCTGTGTGCAATGGTGGGTGCTCTGATTACGTCCTCGGGAAGGGGTTGGGGCGGCCAGCGGCCGGCTGCCTCCTCCCCTTCCCTGGCTCCAAGATGGCACTTTGCGCCGTCTGCAGAGCCCCTAAATAAATCACTGTGTCCACAGTTTGTGCTTTTAAAGCTTTGTTCTGTCTGCTGTTTCAGTTTGTTTTTTTCTAAATTATTTTCACTCTTTACATTGTTTCATTCCTTTTTGTTATCTGAGTGAGGTTGTTGAGCAAGGGTGCAATATAAATGCCTTAAAAATAGTGTGTATGTGTGTATCTTAATGGACTTGCTCAAAGTAAATATGTAGAGTGAAGATGGGGGATATATAGTCAGAGGTTGTTGGACTGCCATTCTCGTCATCCCTCACTACTGGCTAGAATGGATATGGTGAATAGGAGTTGCATCCTAACAACCTCTGCAGGGCTACACATTCTCTGCTCCCAAAATAATACAGACTAGGGATTCTTAGCATGTAAGTGCCACATTCCTGAAGCACATTGCAATTTCTGCAAAGTTAGCATCTGGCTGGCAAACTTGTTTGTTCTCTTCCTTTCTTCACTCTCAAAAGACATCAAGAGGGAAAAGCTGAACAACATTTCCAAAACAGGGTATCTCTAGGTAAGTCTGAAGGCTAGGAAAAGGAAAAACAGAGCCATGCTCAGTGTCACAGGCAACCACATTTAAATCAATATTTGTTAGGTTAGGCTGGCTAAGGAAAATACATTGCAATAAAAGCAGGTAGTCTCAAAGAGTTCAAAGGCAAAGCTATACATAAGAGGTAGCTGCCTTATAACAAGTATGGTACTGATTTATCTAGCTTAATATGATGTTGCGCAAGTCACACTCTCTCAGCCCTAGAGAAAAGCAAGGGCAAATCCCCTCTTGCAAATCTTGCAACGAAAACCCCATGATAGGATCACCTTAGGGTTGCCATAAGTGGGAAACAACTTGAAGGCACACAACAAAATATGCCAGTTGAAGATTTTGGAAATGTCAGATAACAACTCCTAGAATCTTTCAACCAGCAGGGCCAGGAGATTCTGGGAACTGTAGTTCAACAAAGCAATTTTCCAGTAAAATACCATGAGTAGTTAGATTGTGCTACAAGATCTGCTGGTAGATCTCCAGATCATTTGCAGCTGATCAGCAAGGACTGCTAATTTCCAGGTTTTTTAAAACAATGTTGCTTGTTATTGTTGTGTGCCTTCAAGTCCTTTCTAACTTATGGTGACCCTAAGGCGAACCTATTTTAAGATTTTCTTGGCAAGATTTCTTCAGAGGGGGGTTGCCATTGTCATCCTCTGAGGCTGAGAGAGAGTAACTTCCCCAAGTTACCTAGTGGGTTTACATGGCTGAGCCAGGATTCTAACTCTGGTCTCCAGAGTCATAGCCCAACACTCAAACCACAATAGCAACAACAAAATCTACTTCCACACCCACCCAAGTATTATATGACTTGGTCTAAATAGGTCTGAATTTGTGTGTGGAAGGGTTGTAAGCTCCATTCAGCTGCAGGGCTCCAAATAAATCCACACATTCAGAATTCTTCAGTTCTGTGAGCATCGCTTTTGAACTTGGCTCTGACTGGTGGATATGACCAGCAGCAGCTTTCCAGGTTTTAGGCAGGAGCCTTTTTCAATCCCACGTGAAAATGGATTAGCAAGGTAAAGCATCTACAGGCACTACACCCTCGTAGCTACAGCTCTGCTGGAGGCATCCAAATCCCTTGACCCACACAACCCCATGATGAGAAAGTATAACACTTTGAATCAAACCCTGACATGTCTAAACTGAGCTTCACTCCCCACCTTGGTCTGCCATACCAAATACCCTCCCACTCAAGAATTCACAAGGTGGCCTTAGGCAAGCCACTTTCTCACTGCATCTGCAAAATGGGGGGTGATAATGATCTGCTTTGAAGTGCTGCTGTGATTAATAAAGTATTATCAAGCACATTGTCAATCAAATGTCCTATAAAGTGGTCATAATTGTAGGCATGTAGTCTCGCAGCATCCATTATGCCTTACAATTTCCATTAGCTTGTTTTCAAGTCTACTTCATTTGGCCCAGCCTATTTCACACAAAAGATCTGGTGATGTATCACCTTGTAGGAAACTAGCCACTACTACACTTTGTAATAATGCAATGTCAGTGAACTCTTGTTTGCTATCTTCCTAATCCTGTCATAAAACAATATTCAGAAAACAATGGACTCAAAGGATTCCCTAGCACTGAGCCAGGGCAGTTAAAGTGATCTCAAACTGGATTATTTCTGCAGTGTGTTTTGGACCAGAGTCTATCTCCTCAGATGTGCAGACATTGCACCAGAAGTTGATTTTCATTGACTTGGTCTAATTCCTCAGAAACATGCATCTAAGGAAGTAGACTAATGGCCTAAGCAGACTGCCAGAAATAGTGCACATTAAATTGAGGCACTGCCCTGTCTCAGTGCTAGGGAATCATGGGAACTGTAATTTATTGTGGCACCAGAGCTCTCTGACAGAGAAGGCTCAATGGCTCAGAAAAAAATACAATTCC